GTTTGTGTCTAGGTCATAATTGTCAACGTATAAATGAACATGATTCTTAACTCTGACAAAAAAATTGTAAAAACCTTTCAGATGCTTAAAAGACGACAAATGTGAGAAAGATATCACAGACTTTGATTCAATGTTATTGTTTGATTTAAACTGCAATTTGAGTTTTTAGGGATGAAACACAAAGTTAGGTTTTCTTAAATGAGTCACTTTCATTTTAAACTTCTGTAAAAAAAAAATATATATATAAAAAATATATATATTAAAATGAATTGTAACAAATACCTGTTTGGAAGTCTGAGGCACCCAATATATTGGTTTCATTTCTTGTTTTTAATGACCACGTGAAACGTAAAGGTTGCTGTGTTTTTGTGCAGTTTAAACAGTGTGCAGGTGTTTGCCTGTTATTGATGGACTCCTTTGTAACTAAAGACAGAAACGGCTTCTTTAAGCTAAAGCATCTTTCGATTGTGTCGATCATTCATATAAAACAGACTGTATCCTTTTGAAGTCAACATGAAATGAAAAATACATTTTACAAAATAAAATACAATCCAGTGTTCCTGTGTCAAATGTTCATTTATCTGCCAATTATATTTCAATAAAGCACTATGAGGTTTTTTTTTTCACATCAAAATAGCGATAGCTTCGCTTCCTGTTCCTCCTCATGCTGCATTCAGGGGCGTTAACTAATTTTTCAACGATCCAATAAATTAAAAGTTTATTTCCGGCTTTTATTGCGATTGGTTCTGAGGTATTGATGAGTTTGTCCCCAGTAAAAAATGTTAACGACCTTAATTTAAGTTTTAAACGTGTAATGGAGGTGTTGTCATGGCAATATCGTAGGGTTGACTGAAGCTGTGGTGGAGGGGCCCAGAATCCCTGACGACGCCCCTGAGCAGAGGACAGTGCAAGTGTGAGTTTGGATGTACTGTGAGTGGGTGAGTGAGTGAGTGAGTGAGTGAGAGAGTGAGTGAGAGAGTGAGTGAGTGAGTGAGTGAGAGAGCGAGTGAGTGAGTGAGAGAGTGAGTGAGAGAGTGAGTGAGTGAGTGAGCGAGTGAGTGAGCGAGAGAGTGAGTGAGAGAGTGAGTGAGTGAGTGAGCGAGTGAGTGAGCGAGAGAGTGAGTGAGAGAGTGAGTGAGAGAGTGAGTGAGTGAGTGAGTGAGTGAGTGAGTGAGTGAGTGAGTGAGAGAGCGAGTGAGTGAGTGAGAGAGAGAGTGAGAGAGTGAGTGAGTGAGTGAGTGAGAGAGCGAGTGAGTGAGTGAGAGAGTGAGTGAGAGAGTGAGTGAGTGAGTGAGTGAGAGAGCGAGTGAGTGAGTGAGAGAGTGAGTGAGAGAGTGAGTGAGTGAGTGAGCGAGTGAGTGAGCGAGAGAGTGAGTGAGAGAGTGAGTGAGAGAGTGAGTGAGTGAGTGAGTGAGTGAGTGAGTGAGTGAGTGAGTGAGAGAGCGAGTGAGTGAGTGAGAGAGAGAGTGAGAGAGTGAGTGAGTGAGTGAGTGAGAGAGCGAGTGAGTGAGTGAGAGAGAGAGTGAGAGAGTGAGTGAGTGAGTGAGTGAGTGAGAGAGAGAGTGAGAGAGTGAGTGAGTGAGTGAGCGAGTGAGTGAGTGAGAGAGAGAGTGAGAGAGTGAGTGAGTGAGTGAGAGAGTGAGTGAGTGAGTGAGTGAGAGAGTGAGAGAGTGAGTGAGTGAGTGAGCGAGTGAGTGAGTGAGAGAGTGAGAGAGAGAGTGAGTGAGTGAGTGAGTGAGTGAGTGAGTGAGAGAGTGAGAGAGTGAGTGAGTGAGTGAGTGAGAGAGTGAGTGAGTGAGTGAGTGAGTGAGTGAGTGAGTGAGTGAGAGAGCGAGTGAGTGAGTGAGAGAGAGAGTGAGAGAGTGAGTGAGTGAGTGAGTGAGTGAGTGAGTGAGAGAGTGAGCGAGTGAGTGAGTGAGAGAGTGAGAGAGTGAGTGAGTGAGTGAGAGAGTGAGTGAGTGAGTGAGTGAGTGAGTGAGTGAGTGAGAGAGCGAGTGAGTGAGTGAGAGAGAGAGTGAGAGAGTGAGTGAGTGAGTGAGTGAGTGAGTGAGTGAGTGAGTGAGTGAGTGAGTGAGAGAGTGAGCGAGTGAGTGAGTGAGAGAGTGAGAGAGTGAGTGAGTGAGTGAGAGAGTGAGTGAGTGAGTGAGTGAGTGAGTGAGTGAGAGAGCGAGTGAGTGAGTGAGAGAGAGAGTGAGAGAGTGAGTGAGTGAGAGAGTGAGCGAGTGAGTGAGTGAGAGAGTGAGAGAGTGAGTGAGTGAGTGAGTGAGTGAGTGAGAGAGTGAGTGAGAGAGTGAGCGAGTGAGAGAGAGAGTGAGAGAGTGAGTGAGAGAGTGAGTGAGAGAGTGAGCGAGTGAGAGAGAGAGTGAGAGAGTGAGTGAGAGAGTGAGCGAGTGAGAGAGAGAGTGAGAGAGTGAGTGAGAGAGTGAGTGAGTGAGAGAGCGAGTGAGTGAGTGAGTGAGTGAGTGAGAGAGTGAGTGAGTGAGTGAGAGAGTGAGTGAGAGAGTGAGTGAGAGAGTGAGTGAGTGAGTGAGTGAGTGAGTGAGTGAGAGAGTGAGTGAGTGAGTGAGAGAGTTTACCTTGCATAGTGATGCTGCAGCCCAACAGCTCTGAGACACTCCTGCAGGCAAAATGACATTTCCTCTTCTTCCTTTTCTCTTTCTTTTTCTTTGAGTTTTCTCCACCTGCCCTGGGAGTGGCAGATAGTTTGTTTTAGTTTCTCCATAATTGTTCGACCGATGTAAAGGTACACAAAAAAAAAACTCAAAACAACGTCCTTCTTGCACCTCACAAACTACCTACTGCAGCCAAATTACTTTTCTGTAACACTGTTATCCTCTCTGTTTTTCCCTCCCCAGTCTGAGACTGATGCCCAGTGGTCTGTTCAGTCAGTGTGTCATTACTACCACACTGCACTGGTGTGACAGCACACTGGTAAGATGCTGTAATCTGACACTAGGTCAGGAAGCAGCACAGAGCAGTCATGTCACACATTTCTGTACTGTAGCAAATATGATAAATATAGCAGACACGGGCATGCAACTGTCGCGTCTTTGACTTCTGCAGGGGATGGGATAGCAGCTGCAATACTCCAACGATATAACACTGTGTGTGCATGCATAATACGAGGGTGCAGTTCATTACAATGTTTATGAAACAGAACACCACCTCCAAGTGGTCGATATTTCCTTGAGACTGTGCCACGGTGAGGACATGTCGAGTGTCAGCATCTGCTAACTCTGCAGGGGGACAGGAAGGGCAGTTTAAACTCCCTTCAGAGCCTCAGAGTCTAGAATTAAACAGAAGTGAGGTACTGATACCTGTCCATGTGATTGTTATCTGTTGTTGGAACGAGCAAACACCACACAGTAGGGGAACAGTTGTTTATATTTTTAAACTATAGCCAGGAACAACAGAAACATAACCTAAATGAAACATTCTGTGACTGCATTTGGATCTGAATTGTTGTGTTCAGGGATGAAAGCTCCTGTGAGGAACTTTCATTGTATGTTGATTTTGGCGACCGATGTTGGCAAACATGTAGGCCTAAATGTGAAAGTAGAATTTGCATTGAAAATAATTCACCTGCTGTCTTTAAACTGTCACACACTGTATGAATCTTTACCAGGACAATTTAAACTAAGGCGTTTTCTGTATATCGTCTCATCTGACACCTACCCTTTAGCTGCAGAACCAGGCATTAAAAATAAGGCACATAAATATACAGAAATAATTTAAAAAAATACTAAAATCAGTCATTAAATCAGGTTAAAGTTAGCTAATTAGAAATAATAAATATCCAATGTAGAAAATGTCTGTTATGTTAAAAATCTAAAATCCCCAATGTCCATATATATAAGCTTTTATAGCCTAGGCATAGCCTACTATAAAAAAAGAATTAGACCAGCCTATATGTACAAGTCTAAGTATATTTATGAACACATACAATAAATAGAAAAATATAAACATATCCTACCTGATTCACCTTTCTCCTTTGAGGAACAGAAGTTGTAAAAATGAAGGTTTTATCTGACAAAGTGCATTAATGTTTCACAAACTTGTATGGCGTCTATTTCCGTACACACAGCTGGTCTCCATAGCGACGACACTTTTACGGTTACGACAGGACGCCCAACTTTTTTTTCCCCCCCGCTGTGAGTGAACACAACAACTGTAGTTATTGTACAGGTAGGGTTTGGTTAGAAACACATTTTTATATCAGATAATATCAGATGTAAATTGCAGAGAGACAGGCGGTCAAATTACTCTCAGAGAGATAATCCCACAGAAGGCTTAATGCCCACCAACCAACCTGCTCAGACACAAAGCCTTCTCAGACTAAACCATTAAAAGCATTTGGTCCTCGGATTTAACAACACAGTGTTTGAGCTGAGAAATGTAGAAAATCATGGAGCAATACTTGAGTTAGTTCACATAATCTGTAGTGTAGATTCCGTTATGATAAACCTAAAATTGTATTATTCTGTTGTCTTTTTTTTTTTTAACCCTTTGGGACATATCTCTGCCCAATATGTTTTTAATAATTATAACATACCTTACCTTATAATTGTGCTTCTAACTTGTGAATAGGCTACTTGGCAAATCTTCTGTAAACCTTTTTTTTTTTTTTTTAACTTTATTTACAAAACATAAGGATTCAATGACAGGAAGGAAGTTATAAGCTGAAGGTACAACTGCTACAAATTAATGTATAGACAAAATAATGATAATAACAAATAAAATAGAAAAAATTAAAAAATTAAAAAAGACCATTTAAGAAAAAACTAAAATTACAATTTAAGTATATCACAAAAAGCTTTGGTTTTTAGGGCTTCAGGATTTGTGTAATAATTTAATGTCTCCAGGTAGGATTTTAAGTAGGACATAAAAACAATAATGCTGGGTATCTGTTTGAAAAATGTGCTTCTGTAAACGATCTTTTAAAACAACATAAGAAGGAACCTATGGTCTTCACCTAGCGTTTCACTACGGACAACATTAGAGGTAACACATAACATTGGCTTTCCCTCAAATCATGCTAACAAGGGTTTTTCTTGAACGCTAAAGACTTTTAGTTTGCAGTTTTTAAATGTATTTATTTGTTGAACTGTAATTGTAGCCAGGCTGTTTTATTTGTAGGATTAATAAAACAAATAATTCTAGACAATAAGAGTCTAATTTACCGCCCAAGCAGAGTTAGCATCATTAGCCACCGGTTGCTACAAGATCCAGAAGGATTAAATACAAAAGCTAGAGGTGACATTCAGTGTCAGGGATGTTAAACGGTGATTTAAAAGGTAAGTGGATTTAATGTTATGCCTTCTGTAACTATTAAGCTTCTGTACTGTGCTTCAGTTTTCTTCTTCTGTGGTGTTTAAAAGCGGTTGTCATCCTGAAGTTGCATTACCGCCCACCTCTGGATGTTCACAGTATTACAGCTGGACGATATGACCTCAAATCAATATCACGATTAATTGAACATTTTACCTCGATTACGATTCATGAATGATTATTTAGTTGTTTTGCCCTCGTAGTTCACTGACATGTTCTCTACTGTGAATATGTTTAACTATTAAAGCTGGGACATGTTTTCTAATGACAGAGTGAATATCTGATGAACTATTTTGTGGTTATTTATTGAGTATTTCAAACTGAAATCAAAGCATCGCTTGAAATGAAAACAGTAGAAAATAAATAACTTTAATTTCTTGCAAACAGTTTTTCCGCAGTGTTTACTTTTGACTTCTTTTGACTTCTTTTTGTTTGGTGTCGTCTTCCCCAAACACAAAATGTGTCCAAACGACGGACAGTGCTTCCGTGTCGCGATTGGACCGACGTGTCGTCGCGGGATCCTGCTCTGAAATTAATCAAAATAATCGACATGGGCAACATTACGTCGGTTCTGAATATCAGTTTCCATTCATTTTCGATTAATTCAACTTTTAGCGGCATCCACAACAGTTACAATCCTTTCTGATTTCATTTCTGCCTCGGCAGCAAAGTTTATACCTGAACAAAGGACAAGAATTTAATCTTATCAAACATCAAAATCAGTAATCATCGTGCTTAGACCCCTGAGTTGTTTTCCCAGTTACATGGATTTTTTTCTTTCTTTGTGACCTCATCACGTTTTTGCCTTCTCTTCGATCTCATCCTAATGCTATCTATCGCTTTCTTTCTTTAAGGACATTTCTCTGTCCATGCTTCATGACTTCCTTCACCCTGATTACGTTGTGGTTTTCTTTCATTGTTAGATCCAGTACAAATTTCAACCCCACTTTGGATAGTAGAGTTTCAAACCCAGATATGATTAGGGATTTAACAACACCTCCTGATACAGTTAAAAGTCAGTATAAATAAAGGACCATTTAAATCAATTAGACAAAAAGAAAACATGTAATTACTCATTTTAACCAGCAGATGGTGCTATCTGCTTTTGGCTTATTTGAATGCGACATCAGTAGCTGAAGAGAGGCAGCGGAAAAAAAACAGTTTTTTTCTTAAACTTTGGAACATTTAAAAAAAATATGATCGATAATAAATTAAGAGAGATTGTACAGTGTCAGAACATTTATTGAAAAGAATAACACAACATACAGTATCTGTCTATTTTGGTATGAATAATGTCCACAAGAAGTTAATTTACTCATAAACTTTCTGTTTTACGCAGGACGACCGCTTTAGGAATTGTTGAACATGTCCTCCGAGGAGGATTCTTCTCAGGCCTCCTCTTCTTCCGTTTCCCCCCCTACATCGTCCTTCTCATCACCTCCCCCTGTGTCCCACTTCATCGGGAGGAAGGAGGACATCGTCAGAGCTGGGCGTGTGACCCAGCTGGTGAACGGGTGCAGAGATGTACTGGTGTTGCACCACCAGGGTCAGCTTTATGCAATGGACAAACACTGCTACCGTAAGCATTGTGTCATGTTGTTGTTGTTTGTGTTTATAATGCATATGAAGCTAAACTTGTAAAGCCTGTCTTCCACCTCCTAATGTTTTGTAATTCTTTATTGCATGCAGAAAACACATATATTTCTAATGATAGCCATTTTGTCACAGATGCAGGAGGTGCCCTACAGAATGGAGACATTGAGGTAAGATGAGTTTGATTTCCTCTTATATGAAATAGAAGTTCATTGCTCTAATGCCTTTAAGAGTTTATCTCAGAGGTTTACAATAGCGCGTTAATAAAAACAACAGATAGGTTTGAACTTCTTGTCATTCTGCCTCAACCGCTGCTATCTCTCTCCGATCACCTGCAGGAGTTTAACGGGCTGCTGTGTATCGTGTGTCCATGGCACAAGTACAAGATCACACTGGCAGAGGGGGAAGGACTTTACCAAGCTGTGGACAATCCGACGGCTAGACCCCTGAGAACACACTGGCGCTCAAAAGGTGTCAAACAGAGGATTCACAAGGTCGCCGAGGTCAACGGGGATGTGTATGTAACACTGAATGACTCGGGCGAGGCCATCGAGTCAGACGTCTACCAAACGGAGAAATACAGGACTATGTTCCAGGCGGTCCAACCAAAACCAAAACCCAGGAAATAGACGGACCCTCGCTTATGCTTCTGGATTATTTCAGGGACATTTTTGCATGTTTTGTATTGTAAGATGGTAAATGGACTTGAGCTTGAGTAGTGCTTTTCTAGTCCTTTGTCTACTCAAAGTGCTTTTACACCTCAGGTCACACCTACACACTCACACACTGATGGTAGAGGCTGCTGTGTGAAGAGTCCTTCATTACTAACTAATCCCTTTCATGCACATTCACATGCTGCTGATGAGCAGCAGGAGCAACTTGGGGTGAAATGTGTTGCCCAAGGACACATCAGACATGTGTCTGCAGGAGCTGGAGATCGACACCGAACCACAGGAGCCATAGAAGAAGGAATTTTAAACAGTTGTTCCAGGATGTGTGTTCCACGGTGGGTGTGTTTGCTTCATCTTGACATCCTTGTTTTTGTTCTGTTTTACTGAAAACAATAATAAGCAGATTTGAAAGTTAACTGTCGAACACTTCGATTCTTTAACTTATTCTAACTCAACTGGAACTACCAAATAATGTTGAAGTTTCTTATCATGACTTGTTGTACTGTTTACTTTTGGTGCTAAGAAAAAAGGCAAAATTGACCATAAACATGTAAATATGCCACATTGTAGCTGTAGTTTAATTTCCATATGTAGTCTCTTGGCAGGTTGGTGGTACACGCATACACAAATGTACATAAATCCACAATGACACAAAAACAAAACAAACAGCAACATAAACTGTACATTAGGTTTAGGTAGAGACAAGCATCAAAAGTGGCTGTGCCATGTTGGTCAGAACAGGATAAAGTGACATTCAGAGTTTAAGTGCTGCTACGGGAGTATTCAAATCAATTAAGATTTTCTCTTCATGGTAAATGACGTGAGGAATACGACAAATATCATGACAAGGCTAAATTAACACATACGATGGAGGATAAGGGCCAAGTTAAAACTTTTTATTTTTTTTATTTCGAGATTTAAGTCGTGAATTTATGAGTTTATTCTCGTAAATTTACGACTTTAATCTCGAAATTAAAAAAAATATATATTTTGAATACTCTATTCGATCTATCTGTATCTAAAAAAATAAAATTTAAATTTAAACATTTAAAATTTAAAAATAAAATTTAAATTCCGTCGTTAATTTACAACTTTAATCTCAAAATGTATTAATTAATTTATTTATTTTTACGTGGCCCTAATCCTCCGTCGTAGATACAAAATAGAGTATTCAAAATAAATCCACTCTACTGTGAGGGAGATGAATCTGATCAGTTGTCTTGCACCACCTGGCTGCACGGTGGTCAGCGATGTTGGGAATCACTGCATTAGATATTCTGAGCCGCACTCCGCACCGCTAGGTGGCGCCAATTCGTTGTTTGCCAACCGACATAAAACCTCAAAGAAGAAGAAGTCGCAGCCTGGTGACGCACAAAGAGTGTGTGCTGTGTTGAGTCTGACAGAAACAACGAAACTGTTTCTAAGAAGTTCACAGTTTTTACTTTATTATAGAAAGACAAAACATCAACCGGTTCATTCATGAATATCATGTTGATGTTCAGCTAAATGGAAGATACATCTCCATGACAACAGTCTCACTCTGTTTCACACACCTCTCTCTGTGATGGCTTCAGGTATGTTTTTAAAACATGTTTTTTACAGTTTTCATCTCCTACAGAGGAGCTTCACTGGGTTTGTTTTCATCAGAGTGTATTAAATAGTCTTTTAATTGTGTTTAGAGGATGAAATCAGTCTGCTGGTCGTCGTGGTGGATGTGAATCCGCTGTGGTGGGGACAACAGGCTCAACGTGAACCAGAGGTGAAGGAGAAGTTTGTGTTGCAACAGGAGCACACAGAAGACCAGAAACACAACATCACCATGAAACAGAAAACAAACTAATGATCAGACAACACAGCAAAATATAAAATCAGTGAAGAGTCATAGCAGGATGGAAAGTCAAGTTATTAAAGTGCAAAGTGGAGGAGTGCAAAAAGAGCAACAAATACCTAATTGTTGTTTAACATATTATTGCACTGAGCTGCCATCCTGACCGATCAGATCCTGACTGATAAGAGAACAGAATAGTATAGAATAGAATTGAATAGAATAGAATAGAATAGAATAGAATAGAATTACTTTATTGATCCCAAACTGGGAAATTGTGTCATTACAGCAGCAGGTTGTCCAAACACACAATATGAGTAAAAAACACAATATAATATTAAATACAAAGTAAATAAGCACTAAAAATATCAAAACTAAGAATGAGAATATATACAACCAGGATTTAACTTAGCATTACTAGTCTTAAATAAGAAGATTGAATGTAAATGTGTAAAAACAGAGTTGTAATTGGACAGTAAGCAGCTCCTAAGCACGTTTCTGAGTTGCTAACCGACTGTTACCACACCAGGACCCTTCAGGTCATCAAGTGGAGGTCTGTTAGTCGTTCTCTGGAACTAACGACCTGTTGACCTGAGGTCCATCACTACTGTTATTACTTTGATTGGGTTGGGGTCTCTGATGTGCCTTTTTCTTCGGCTTGATTTCATGATTGTTTCATCCACAATGTTTTTATCCACAATGTAAAACACATTAAGCGTACCTGTGATGGAATATTCTTTGTCAATAAAGTTTCTGTTCTGTTCATGAATTGACTGTATTTTTATCAGTAGTCAAACAACCCCCTACTGTCCTCTTGTCTCCGTCCAGTTCACCCTGTCTAAGTGTGTGGATGCAGTCATGGTGATGGGAAACGCTCACATGGCGATGGCCAGGACGAACAAGCTGGCTGTCATTGCGAGCCACTGTCAAGACAGGTGACTACTGATCATATAAAATATACTACTTTTTTCTGATTTGGCTCATGAGTCTCTCTCAGCCCCTTGAAAAAGAAACAAGAGGAAACTGCTTCTATGTTAAAAGTGTCTTTTTTTAATTTTTT